TCAACGACAATCGTTGTCTACTGAATAAGAAAAGTCGTCTGTGAACGATTATCGTCTATTAACGACGTCGTTCAGAGTTACTGAATAGGCCCCTTATAGTGGATGTCCATGGGATATTGAATACACCTTAAAAAAAATTAATTTGAATATCTCAACGGTACTATTAGCCACAATGGCGAGTACAATGGCGTAATTTTTTAAAAATTTGCTATATAATTACAATTATTTATGGACATTTGCATGTCTATAAATTACATTTCATGGATATAAAATAGATATCCACCATGGACTGGACATTCAGTGGATATTGGGATGTTCAGTAGATATCCAAAGGATTTGGTGTGCTGTCTGGGTTATTATACTCTTTCGTGCAAGCGTTCAGTGTTTTCGATTCTAGTGAACCTTTGAGATATTCCTTATATACCCTTTATACCAACTTTTGTCCAATTTGTCAGTGTTTTTTTTACCTATATTATTAATACCTACCTCTACTTGTATGATATTGGTTCTTGATTTCAAAAGCTTTTTAATAATAAATTTATACAATTTTTTATTTTGTTTTCTTCAGATTTTACTATATCCTCAATATACTATTTTGAATATAGTGTATCCAAGGATGGACATAACTATACTTGTAAAGATATTTATTTTAAATTGTTCAAAAGGTCTTTTTCATAATTTCTCAACGTTAATCGTATTTATTTAACAAGCAAAAGAAATTATGAAGAAGTACTTTTAAATTTAAAATAAATATTTTTACAAGTATTGTTAAGTCCATCCGTGGACACACTGTATAATGCTGTAGAATGAATTCACATTATAACATCTATAGAAAGTTTCAGAGCAACTTTCAGGGTAAGTACCGTAAAAGTGCTAGTGTGATGTTTTCCGAACTTCACTTTTTAACTTCTGTGAGATGTGCTTAAAAGTCTTGCCGTTGCGGACATTCGGTGGTTGCAGGGATGATAGGGTTACATTAACAGTACATTGCATGCGAGCTTAAAGAGCCTAAAATTGCAGCTTATTAACGTAGATGGGATGTTTTTGTGCTAGCTGGGTGTACTTTTACAAGGTACCTAATAGAAATTGAGAAAAAAGGTATGAAAAAGTTCACATATTAGTAAAATAATATAAATAAGACTTTTGATTTGTAATTCTGTGTTGACATTAGGGTTGTTATCTGTCCTTTTTTGAAGCAAAATGTCCTTGTGACTTTATAAAGCTTAAAATGTCCTTTTTTACGGCAAATGTCTTTTTTACGGGACAAAAATTTATAAACTGAGGATCTTTGTTTTTTCAGGAGCTCGGTAGAATGATGAGGATTTTTTTGTTACAATCTCGGCTACCTTTTTATTTGGAACTTCAGTAGAAGGATGAGGACTTTTGTATACCGGAGCCCCTGTCAGCATCGTAGTCCTTTATTTACTTGTCACAAAGGTGGCAACCCTAGTTGACGTTGCTTTCTTCAAGGGTAGAAGGAAGGTTAAAACTTTATAGCATATCAAACTGATACTCAATTTTCATATATCTTTCTTCGACCATCAAGTAAGGAACGACATATTCGGTTAGTAAGTCACATCACGTAGGTCTGTTTATCAAATCCAACGGCACAAACATTTATTTAACATCCAACAAAATAAAACCTGTTGTCGTGAGGGCCATTTTGAATCAGTGCGGCCTTGGTTTTTTTACGTTATCGTAATACCGTTCATGCCGGCCGACCGAGACTATCAAATGCTACGAGAAATACCAGAAAGCTCTGGCACAGGTGTGGATTCATGGGGAAGTACCATCGAGAAGAATCTCGAAATCATGAAAACCACACCGACCAGAGGAAGTCATTCTTAGTCTCACTCACCTTGATATTTTCATCAAGAAGGTTGTTCTGATGACAATGACACGCCTCCGCACGGTTATTGGTATCGAACCTGATGTAGGATCTCGTGAGGCGAGATATCGCTTTTGGCAGGAGGCGCTCGATACGCTCCCACTGCTTCAAACGCACATGGACTCTATATCTTACCGAGATATATCTTCCATGAGCCATATAAAGTTATAACACAACAAATAGAAGAGCTGAAAGTGGCAGGTACGATTCATATCTACACCGACGGTTTTAAAACAAAACAGGGTTCAACAGGTTGAATATACTCCAGATTATCTAACCTAAACATAAAATGGGATGAGAGCAATAGTGCCAATGTAGTTCAAACCGAGCTCACAGGGATTATCATAGCAGCAAAAGTAAGCAGAAACAATATCACTGGAAGGAACATGCGAACATATCCTCTACGATTGCCAGACGCTAACACCGGCCGACGTTGTCAACTACATTAAATCTGTAGGCAGGCTCAAAGAGCTAGGAGGTTCCTATATCATCTTAGGAGGGTGTGCACAACGGGCCTAGTGAGGCCTAAGTGTAGGTAACCCTCCCTCCACACATTACAGATACAGATGTTAGTAAGATTACACTACATTAAACCTCCCCCCCCCCCCTAGGGAAGCTTGAAACATAAGGGATATACGTCTGTTATTGCAACGACTGTATCTTAGTAAGGTCACCTAGATAAAAAAGAAACAACGAAACAATAATTATTAGTGCAATTTTGAGGACGTCTGCTTTATTCAGTGCGTTAACCCATGCATCCTTCGAAATAAAGATGAGACGCTTAATTATATTTGCACGTGAGAGAAATAGGAAAAGGCTCTCGTAAATCGGCTGACTGCTTGCCGTGATTGCCACTAGTGGGCTGGCGCGCACTGTTGTATCTCTGTCTAATAAATAATATCGGTTATTCTATACCGTTCTTCATGTGTCATTGATTGAAAGTTAACATATTGTATAATAACCTCAATAAATTCTTCAACTGTATATATTTTATGGAAAATGACATGTAACCTGTTTATTTTGTGCAGAATTATGAAGACTAGAGATAAGGAGGCGAATCGGCATACTCGAAATACGATCCCAAAAACGAACGCTAATTGAGCTTTTTTAATTCTCCGCAAGGGCGCTGGTGCTTGTACCGCTGTTCGAAATACATGGCTTCTTATGGGAATTTTACATAATTTTGTCAAAATAATAAAAATAATCTTGCATGTTTTAATTGAATAATTATTTAATTTTATCTATATAACATGCAATTTAGGTAGGTATAACCTAATTCGAAAAAATTTGTTAAATGGTGAAATTTGATAAGTACAATTTTGTGTCTAAATTTCTTTGAATTCTACCTAAATATAGTAGTTAAGACCAAAATAAAACACAGCTAACATATTTTTTATTGTTATAATACAAGCATAAAGTGAGATTTGGAAATATATATGATTGCCACATCCTTTAATTTCGGCTTTGCCCTTTTTATTTTGCTAACAGTACCATTAGTAAAAAGAGTCTCATAATATTTGGAAATATCTATTCTCTAGAAAGTGCTTTATCGGCCCTATGGGAACGATATATATGCTGCCACTGTTCTAAGCGTTTAGGATCCTATAAAAAGTTCAACAAAAAAAAATAACAGTAGCAACTTTTTATCTAACATTAAAACTCTATAAAAACAAATTTTCTTTTCTAGTAAGTTAAATTTAATTTGTAAGTCAGGATCTATGACTAAAATTTTATTTTTATGTAATAAAATAAACTACACTCCGTGATACGTTTTGTGACTATTTTATCATAAATATTATATTTAGACATAAATACATTATTTTACTTACATTAGAAGCTTTAAAAAGACATTAAATTGATTTCTACTTGTTTCTTTAGTTTTACATGTGATTTGTATCCTGTTTTACAATGTGGAACGAAGTAAATCTTGCTTTAATGTTTTTTGTCTTTCATGTTACTTGTACTTAGGTACTTTTCTTCACATTATTTTGATTCTTTTCACCAATTTTTTAAAAAATCACTTTATTTTACTTTGACTTATATAGATAATGAACGTCAGTGACGTTCGACCTGCCAACTACAGTCAATTTAGCGAACTTTATAAAAAGGATAGAAATTTGAAATTTGATCATTGCCGATTCGCCTCCTTATATCTAGTCTTCATAGGCAATACATGTGAGGTGTCAGTGAGAAATATAATTCTCATTTCCCAATAAATAAAAATTGTATACCTCCCTATTTTATTTGAGGATAAAATAAATTAGGTTAAATATATTTTTGAGTATTATTTCATTCACAAATTTGCACCAAACTTTACCTGCATCGAATTCCGTATTACTTTACAAATTAATTAAACACAACGTGGGTAATAAAATAATCTAGAGGAAAAATGCTTAATATTAAAGAAAGTATAATAAATTACTTTGAATATCAAACGAATTCAAGACGTCATACTCCCTTTTTTAGGAAATATCGAGGAGGGGTCCCCATATGGCCCTTGTTTGTAAAGAGTTGTGAGTTTAATATAGTCTTTTGGGAGTTAATGATTTCAAATTCTATTAAATAAAAATGGATGAAAATACTGTATTTTGTTAAGAAGTGCAGCCTTCTTTTAAAAAGCACAATTTTCAATTTGAATGCCCTATTTATCAAAAAACTAGTCATATGATGGAGCTGGGTCCGCAAAATCCTTTGCCAGGTGAGCTTACCCTTGATCCCTCCCTGGCGGCGCCCATGCGTACGTTTACCGTACATTTTGATCGTAGTATTATTGGGACATGTTTATGTTTATTCTTACTGACATTTAGATATTATGCCTTTACTTGTATTGATGAATTTCTTGAGTTTATAATAAGAGATAGGATACAATTTTACCGAATATGGTACCATACCATTACCGGGCACTAGGTAGGTACCCCACACCGATCTGAATTAGTTTTATTTACCTATAATTTCGTTATATTTAGATCGGTGTTACCCATGGCCCCACATTTTAATCTAGCTAGATTATTAATAATGATAATTAATATTGATAATCATATCAAAATCTTTTTAAAAACCGTGAATAATAATTTTGTTCTTATTTGAACAGACAATATTTATATCTGATGGGATTTTGAACATCTGGGAATCAGGTAAATTCATTAAAGAATAAAGGTAAGACGTACGTCCGGTTCACTGACATTGAAAATCCCTTGTTCAAAACTTCGTGTTTTCATATAGTATGTTGGTAACAATTCTGGTGATTTGTGCTGATGAAAATGTCATAAAATGCCGCTAATAAAAACACTAGTTGTTTGGTTTGGTTTGTATCCGCTTTCGTTGACTGAGTTTGAGTATGCTGTAAGAGGTGATTAGCCATTTTGCTTTTTGTGTAGAAGCCGGTCACCAGAAGTCTCGCATCTACCTCTTATTTAAGTGTCTTTCTCTTTTAAAAACCGCCGTTGCGTGTATTTTTCAGTGTTGATCATATTTAAGACTGAATAAAGTATTAAAAGTAAGTGATCCTTAAATAAAACAATATCCCGTTAGATTAACAGATTAAAACAACGGCTAACCTTTATGTTTTAAGTATGTCTACTCAAGCCACAAAGAGGAAGAGGATTCCCTCGAAGAAGGCCGCTTCAAAGAAAGGTAAAAAGGCAGTAGACATGGATTCTGACCTTAGTGATGATGGTGGTAATGAGAACAATGTACAGCCTGACGAAGTTTTGATTGCTGGGCACGGGGATGCCCTAGATGAAACTCCACTTCCGAAGGAACTCCTCAATACTTTAATTAAACCTGCTGGACAGTTAATTTTCTTCGGGAACGTAAATTGGGATTTAATGGGGAAGAGGGAAGTCAAAGGTCAGAAGGTTTTGCCGAATTTATATTGGCCTCACAGATTTACTGATCTTAGGGTGAGTATCGTTTGTAAAATTTATTTTTGATTGTCCTCAGTAGGTGTATAATTGTATTTTGTCTCATATGCTTAATCTGAATTAACAGCTACCTTTCTGTGTCACTATTGTTTATCCCTCTTTTTTAATATTTTTACCTGTTTGTATATTCTACAATTAAACATGTTTTAAAAGATTAAGAATATTGATATACCGTTTGTGAATAACTGCTTACTTTTCTGATTAATATTACTAAAACTGCTTCATAATATGTACTGGTATTTAGAAACAAAGGTCTTGTAGTTAAGTGTTCTATTAATGTGCATATCAGTTAACTGCATTCTGGAAAATAATAAATGACTTAAGAGGCAATAAGTCTAAACAATTGGTCACCAATTTAAGCCCTACCGAAAACAACGATTTTTATTGTTCTGTTGGTCCAAGTCTGTCCACCCAAATAACTCCTTCGACTCTTTGTCTTATTTAAATAATATAAATATTAAACGATTCATGTTATTTTATACCAACTAATGTTGTAGAAATTAAGTATATCCTCTCTTCTACCACAAAAAAGAATTCCTCAGGTTGGGATGAAATTTCAGTTAATCTTCTTTTATATCTTCCAGAAGATGCTTTAAATGTTTTTGCAGAATCAATCAATCATTCATTTTATTATATTTATTTATTCACAGGCCTTGTCCACTTTCAGTACAAAGTTACAAATAGAAACAAAAAAAAAAACTCAAATAGAGTCAATCTAAATAATATGACATAATAATGATAAACTAACAACAAAAATCATAAATATATTAACATGTACAAAATCTAAACAACTAATATTAAGACTAGGGAATTTAAGTTTTAACACCCTAACAAAATTAGAAAAGCTTGAATTAAAAAAATTCTAGACTATCAGCACAAGTATTAGCACTTCGTGAAACTCTAGGCATGAATGAATTGAGGCCAGTATTAGTTCTCATGTAGGGCTGATGAAAACTGTTTATTGATCTTGTGCTTCTAGTTGGGGGCTGCCAACAACATGCTTGAAATCAATGTATAATTAATGAGCTTTGGACAGGTTCTTTCAGTGATTCTTTAAAAATAGCCAATGTTATACCTGTGTACAAGGGCAGTGATCATAATTGTCCTTCTATCGACCCATTTCTTTATTACCCACTTTGGCAAAAATTACTGAAAAATTGGTTAAGATGAGAATGCTAGCCTAAAAATCAAAGTGCTATCTACATCTCAATTTGGGTTTCAATTGAGTAAAAATACCACTGATGCTATGTTTTCTGTTCTAAAAAAATTATACCTCAATTTAAATGATAACAAGGTAGCTGCTGCAGTGTTCTGTTATTTATCCAAAGCTTTTGACTGTGTAAATCACAGAATATTGCTGAGCAAGCTAGAAAAATGTGGATTCCAAGGAATAGCTCTAAAGTGGTTCCAGTATTATTGGGAGACTAGAGTACAAATAGTTTCTTTCAATAAACAAACATCAATGCTTTCTATGATTTACTATGGGATTCCCCAAGGATCCGTTCTGGGACCGGTTTTATTCCTAATTTATGTTAATGATATTATTAATGGGTATTTCACCATATTTGCAGATGATATGATGCTCTGGGAGAGTGAGAATATTAAAGAGTTGTCTAATACTATTAACAAAGACATTATTAAGATTAAAGAATGCTGCAATTCAAATTATTTAGGTATCTCTTAATATATCAAAAACAATCTCATTCAGTAGCGATATCGCTATAATTTCAGTCAGACAGCAACAAATTTGCAAGAAACCTGAAAATAAATTCTTAGGCTTATTTAGAAATTAAAATTTGAAATGCATGTTAATAGTTTGTGTAAGAAGCTGTCCTTTAGATGTTTTGCATTAAGAAATGTTGCATACAACTTAGATATTTCAGTTGCAAGGAGTGTATATTTTTCATTGATAGAATCCCATCTGCGATATGCTATAAGTTTCTGGGGAACATGTTCTTCTGATACGTTTACTAGAATCTTTGTCTTACAGAAGAGGGTCATAAGACATATGTACAAAGTTGATGCTAGTGTCTTGTAAGCCATTATTTATTAGGCACAATATACTAACACTCACTTGTCTGTTTATTTTAGAAACAGTACTTTTAGTTTTAAAAAATATAAATGTAATATTATTACCTCCACCAGCAATACTCGAAGAACCTTTTACCTTCCTTTGCCTATACCCTCTTCCGGCTTGGTATATGACTGTATTGTGTATAGTGGAAAGAAGATATTTAACCACCTGCTAATTAATATAAGAAGTGCTGACTCATTAAAAATATTTAAAAAGCAAGTTAAGAAACTCTTGCTCGAAAAGGCCTACTACAAATTGGATGAATTTTTCTGTGATCGGTTGAATTAAGTAGCTCATTTTAATTTATGTGTAAATTATATATTTGTCATATTTGTACTTGATGTTGTGCATATACATTTTTGTTCTTTATATTATATTTTATGACATTAAAATTTTAAAAAATTTTAAAAACAAAAATTTCATATAGTTTTTAAACTGGAATCCTGAAAATCTACTGAATTTATAAGAAAATTACTAAAATCGTAAGTATTATTTTTTTTTATTCTATTAAAATTCTACTGTACACCTTGATGAATTTCTGAGTTTGGTAAATGAGTTTGACTGTATTGCTGTTACCGAAACATGGTTGTCTGCAAATATTGATACAAACACCATTTCAATTCCTGGATTCAATTTTTACCGATTTGATAGACAATCTAGAGGTGGTGGTATTGGTCTTTATTTAAATAATTATATTACTGGTTTACAATTAAATAGTTGAATTTAATTCCTCTGGCTTAAACTCTGAGCCATGGGTACTCTTTCTGTAGTTTGGAATTTTCAAAAATAAGAAATGAACCTAAATTTTATACGTTTAAGAGATTTTAAAAAATTTGACTATGACAGTTTTCACAGTGATTTAATAAATACTCCATTTCATGAAATTTTCAATATTGAAGATATTGATGATAAAGTACAGTTTCTCACAGAACAAGTTATTCTCTTGTTTGATAAACATGCGCCATTAAAAACTATATGTATTACTAAACCTTATCCAATCAAATTACTAATTAAGGAGAGAAATTTTGCTTTAAGAAACTCTCCTCACATCATGAAACAGAGCCTATTTTGACAAACTGTTTAATTCCCATAAATCCAAGGATTTATGCAAGGGTCTAAATAAACTTCAGTCCAGAAGCAAGAAATAACCCTACCTATTTCACTGCAGAAACCTGAAAAAATAAGGACTTTTGTTCTGTTTTTGTTGATAATGAAGTAGATGAATATTATAATAATTCAACACTACCTAATTTGCATGGAAACAAACTAGCATTTGATTTTATAACTGTCAGAGAATTTAATAAACTACTCCATAATATCAAATCTAATGCCATGGGTTCTAATGCTATGTTAATCTCCATGCTGAAGTGCTGTAGTCCGCATATTGATAATTACATTATGTACCTTCTAAACTGTTGTATTCAAAGAATCTACATTCCAACAACTTGGAAAATTGCAACAATTAGACCACTTTGTAAAGTTGCACAACCTCAACATTTTTCTGATTTAAAGCCTATTAGTATTCTGACTGTGATGTCCAAAATTCTTGAAAAGGCTATCTATAATAGAATTTCCCTTTATATTGTTGAAAACAAAATACTTCTGGATTACCAGGCTGGTTTTTGAAGTGGCTACAATACACTTTTTCCAGTTACTGATGATATTGTAAGAAATATGGACAGAAGACAAATTACAGGACTTGTTGCTTTGGACTATTCCAAAGCATTTGATACTATTTTGGTTTTTCTGAAAATTCTATTCATCTCATTCATTCATATTTATTTAACCGTAGGTAAAACGTTCTTTTAAATAATTAATTTTCTTCATTACAAAACGTAAAGTCTGGTGTGCCACAGGGCTTAATATATAGGATCAATGCTTTTTATTTTATATACCAGTGATATCTTGGCATCTGTTCGCAACTGTAAAATACAAGCATATGCTGATGACATCCAACTTTATTACAACATTGATAATAATTATCAAGTTGCTGAACAAGCCTTAAATGAAGATCTTGATCTTATTCATAGATTGTCAAACATAATCTTAAGCTCAATAAAAATAAATGTCATCTAATCCTATTTGGAAACAAAAAACAACGGAATTACCTTAGTCAAAGTCTTTCCATACAAATTGATCAACTAACTTTACCTATAGCGGATTCCATAAAGAATCTAGGCATTCTGTGTGACTCTGATCTCAATTTCTACTCGCATGTAAACAACCTTTTAAGAAAATCATTTTCGACTTTAAAAAAGTTATATTCCATAAGGCACAGTCTGTCTTGGAAGGTGAAAAAAATATTATCAGAGTTCTTAGTTTTGTCTATTTTCTCATTTGGTGATGTCGTCTATGGAAATTTTATTAATTCTTATACACAAAACCGCATACAAAAAGTACAAAATTATTGTGCTAGATTTATTTATAAATTTTATGAACTTAAATGGTTAAAAATGAAAAATAAACGTCAATATAATTTTATTAATTTTTTTATATAATGTCATAAAAGGAAATAAACCAAAAACTCTTTTGGATAGGTTAGTTGTGAGATCAGCACTGCACCCTCTAAATGTCATCTCTAGACATTTTTTCACATTCCTCATCACAATTCAGCCATGTTTCAGAAATCATTTACCTACCAATCCGTTAAAATTTATAATGAATACTTAATGAAGCAAATACATTATCCACAACATATTTTCAAAAAAAAAATAAATTAATCCATTGTATTATATTTTATGTTTCTACTATTTTTTTATTTTTATTTCATATCTAGTTTTATATTTTGAACATTATTATTATTATTATTATTATTTTGGAATTTAATTAATGATAAAATCAGTTAAAAACTAATTTTCTTTATTATTTTATTAAAAGCATTATGCTTCTTTTTATATTGTACTTTTAGGTTAAGTGTAAGAATAGCTTGTAGCTAAACTGCGCCTCTTTGTACAATTTATTAATAAAGACGATTTATTATTATTATTATTATTATTATTCATCTTAAAAATCTACCAGTTTAGTAAGAAATCTGCTGAAAATGGTTAGCCTGCTCCACTCAGCTGCTCTGACTATATTGTATAACTGCCATACGGCCATTTTAATTTTGCCAAAGAAAATCTGCAGTGTGTAACTTGCTAATTTTTCGATTTCTGAAAATTTTACAAAAAAAAAGTTTTAAATAACATTTATATGAAATGAATCAAATTGTATTAAAAATCAAATAATTACTCTGTAACTTTAGAAATAATAATTTTAGCACTACCTATATTGGGTTGTATTCTAACTTTATTAGAGTGCACAAAACTGAAAAAATATGCAAGGTGTACTAATTTAAAAAATATATCTTTGAGTTATTTTGGGTAATTTTCAAATGGATAATCAATAGTAAGATGATTTTTCACATATATTTTTTATCTTTTATAGATTTCATAAATGTTTTACAGAAAAATATTAGCCAATATTTAATTGTAATAATCACATTAACTTTAAAGTGTTATTGAGAAATCACGCCATCATCCAACTATATTTTTCTCTAACTCGTTTTAAAAGTTTTAGACGCAGTTAACTATTAAAAAAAAAAATTGCATGCGGAACCGTACATGTGAGAGAAGTAAAACTAAAGAATAACAAAGTTTACAGGTGTGAGAAGTAAAACTAGAGAATAACAAAGTTTACAGGTGTGAGAAGTAAAACTAGAGAATAAGAAAGATTACAGGTGTGAGAAGTAAAACTAGAGAATAAGGAAGATTGCAGGTGTGAGAAGTGAAACTAGAGAATAAGAAAGATTGCAGGCCTGAGAAGTAAAACTAGAGAATAACAAAGATTACAGGTGTGACAAGTAAAAGAAAGATTACAGGTGTGAAAAGTAAAACTAGAGAATAAGAAAGATTACAGGTGAGAGAAGTAAAACTAGAGAATAACAAAGATTACAGGTGTGAGAAGTAAAACTAGAGAACAAAGATTACAGGTGTGAGAAGTAAAACTAGATAATAACAAAGATTACAGGTGTGAGAAGTAAAACTAGAGAATAAGAAAGATTACAGGTGTGAGATGTAAAACTAGAGAATAAGTAAGATTACAGGTGTGAAAAGTAAAAGAAAGATTACAGGTGTGAAAAGTAAAACTAGAGAATAAGAAAGATTACAGGTGTGAGAAGTAAAACTAGAGAATAACAAAGATTACAGGTGTGAAAAGTAAAACTAAAGAATAAGAAAGATTACAGGTGTGAGAAGTAAAACTAGAAAATAACAAGATTACAGGTATGAGAAGTAAAACTAGAGAATAAGAAAGATTACAGGTATGAGAAGTAAAACTAGAGAATAAGAAAGATTACAGGTGTGAGAAGTAAAACTAGAGAATAACAAAGATTACAGGTGTGACAAGTAAAACTAGATAATAAGACAGATTACAGGTGTGAGATGTAAAACTATAGAATAAGAAAGATTACAGGTGCGAGATGTAAAACTAGAGAATAAGAAAGATTACAGGTATGAGAAGTAAAACTAGAGAATAAGAAAGATTACAGGTGTGACAAGTAAAACTAGATAATAAGACAGATTACAGGTGTGAGAAGTAAAACTAGAGAATAAGAAAGATTACAGGTGTGAGAAGTTAAACTAGAGAATAAGAAAGATTACAGGTGTGAGAAGTAAAACTAGAGAATAACAAAGATTACAGGCGTGAGAAGTAAAACTAGAGAATAAGAAAGATTACAGGTGTGAGAAGTTAAACTAGAGAATAAGAAAGATTACAGGTGTGAGAAGTAAAACTAGAGAATAAGAAAGATTACAGGTGAGAGAGAGAGAGAAATAGAGTTAGAGAGAGAGGAGTCGTGACGTAGAAAGGTAGGAACGTAGAGCGTCGAATAGGATATAGGGCATCGGGACGTAGAGCGGCGGATAGTAAAAATGACGTCGGGACGGATAACGTAGGGAAGTAGGACGTCTGTATCTTGGGCGTCGTGACAACGTTCGGGAGATAGGGAGTAGGAGTGTTGATGGGAGATAGGGTAGGAACTGTGTCGGTTTAAGAAAGATACTGAATACTGAACTTGAAATATACTATATTTAAAGAGTAATGAATGACTGGAGTTTGAAATCAACTGAACTGAGTTTGATTTCTTAATGAATCGAGTCCCTCGAAATCCGGTTTTTATACCCGATTTAATGATTTTTGTGACGTCAATTTGTCGTAACTCCGGTGGGAACGAATTTGGGTGTATAGAAAAGGGGCGATCGATTGAAAGATTTTTGTGTCGAAAATAATGTTACTATTCAAAACTGACTTAAGATAAGTGTGTTTAACTGTTTATGTTTATAGATTATGTTGTATGGTGGTTTCGGGTTGGGTTCCCAGACACGTACAAGAAAATTAGATCTCTTGTGGACAGGGATATAGATATTAGGTATCGTAAATAAGATTTAATTAAATGGGAGATATTTCGTTAAATGAAGGATTTTGAATTTAGTAAGAATGCAACTTTTCTTTAATAAAATGGAATAAATAAATTATGAAGGTACCTGGGTGCGGTAGGTTACAATACAGGGCTTATCTTGTGGATGTAAAATTAAATATTATTTATAAAATTCCTACTAGACTAATAGAAATTAAGAGCTGAAATTCAGCAAAGTTTATTAGTGGGGGCTGGGTCTATGAGTTTTCAAAACATTTTATTATTAATACGATTTCCATGGTCTTATTTTACTATGATTATAATTTTTTATTTAAAAAACCGACTTCAAAATCGTGCAGATGTCCTTAATAATTGAGATTTTTTATTTTCTCATAGATCATCCAATCTGGACCAATTGTATACGGAACTACCGCTGAGGTATCCCCTTTTAAACAAAAAAAAAAAAAGAATAATAAAAATGGGAAAACGTGGTAAACAATCATCGCTGAAAATACATAAAACATAAAGAGTGATGACTTTCTCATAGAACCCATCATTAGATCTTGACCAAATTTATATGGGACCACACCTGAGGTACGAAGTCGGTTAAAAATACCGATAAGCAAATCGTACACTCAGTCCACTAATAATATTCACATACTTTAAAAAACATTTGATAAGGTAAATCATGATGTCCTGCTTTTAAAAATGAGTAAATTTGGTTTGACAATACACTATTTAAGAGCTACCTAGAAAATAGATATTCAATTGTTAAGCATAATGGGAACACGTCGGGAAAATTTATAGCATATAGTGGAGTGCCACAGGGCTCCAATTTGGGACCACTTTTTTTTATCAATGATTTACCATCTAAGCTGAGGTCTTCTATTTGCCGATGATCTTAAAATTAAAAAAAAAATACAGACGGATTGTGTGAGTTTACAAAAAGATATAGACAACATAAATGAATGCTGTTATAAAAATAAATTAAATTTCAATACAAAAAATGTAGCAGTATGACAATAAGTAGATTTAAGAAATCTTGTTATTTTCGATTATCTTATAAATGGAGATGTAATAGAACGACGTACAGAGGTAAAAGACTTAGGTTTAACCTACGATTGTGTTCTAACGTTTTCTAATCATGTAAAAATTATAGTTAAGGCTGCAAATATAATGCTGGGGTTCATAATTAGGCAAACTAGAAGTTTTATTAACATAAAATCTATAAAAATTCTTTATTATGCTCTAATTAGAAAAAAACTTGAATTTGGAGCTGAGGTATGGATGGAGGAACATCCAACTAATCTATATGAGATTGAAAAAAATACAAAATAAATAGCTTAGATATCTTTATTTCAAAAAACTCCATATATACCCAGATACAATCTTGTTAGAACTGCAAACTTAAAAAAATAATTTAAAATACCTTTCCTTCACACCAGAAGGAATATAATAATCTCGACTTTTTTTATATAAAATTATTAACTATAAAATGAACTCACCTGAGCTACTATACTTAATATGATTTAATGTACTTCCGAGGAGAATGAGACATCCATGTTTGTTTAATATTCCTTTAGTTCTTACCACTGCCAGGTCACCTCTTGTGACCATGCTGCGATTGGCAAATAATATTATTACTTGTATTGATGTAGACTGGACATTACCATTTAATATATTCTGAAAACTTGTATTTAATTATTACATTACTTTTGATTAATTATTACTCTGAATTAATTTTAATACTGAATAAGTTGTAATATTAGTTGTAATTACCTACTGTTTAGTTTTATTATTATTATTTATGTATTATGATACTTTTATCTATGTAATAAGGCTGTTGCCCTGTTTGGATACAAATAAATAAAATTAAAAGGTGTGAACACGTCTGCTGAATTTCAGCTCTTAATTTCTATTTGACTAGTAGGAATATTTTCTTTCAAAGTGTATTTACAATATTAAATTCAAACACATTATTCTTTCCAGATTCGTCTTGTTGTCAGTGGTTGTGTGGCAGGACATACTGTCCTAGTTTCAGAAGAAGGTAAAGCTATGACATTTGGCAGAAATCCCCAAGGTCAACTAGGTCTTGATGACACCGCTTCTCGAACAATTCCCACCTTAGTACCAGGACTAGAGAATATGAACATCATAGGTGAGTAGAGTTGAAAAAATTATTGGTAGTGACAATATCATTATATTTTCCATCAAAATATAATAATTCCTTTTTAATTTTATCACATATACTGTTCATTGCAATAGGTGCAGCTTGTGGTCGACATCATACCCTCTTTTTGACAGATGCAGGCAGTGTTTATGCCTGTGGAGACAACAAATCGGGACAGTGTGGAGTAGGCAATCTGCAACCACAGATACTGGTACCCACAAGAATAAATTACAGAGGACCACCTATTATTAAGGTAAGGGTCTTTGCAAAAATGTATCTCAAGTTACTTCCTTGTTTGATAACATCCATTAAGTATTTATTAAATTAAGCCCAATATTTTGTCTCTTTAAAGCTGGGAGCCGGAGCAGATTTTTCCGTCATTCTCGATATCAAGGGTGGTCTTCATTCCTTCGGCTTGCCCGAATTTGGTCAGCTGGGACACAACACCGACGGTAAATATTTCAAGACTAGCACAAAGTTGTGTTTCAACTACCAAACCAGTCCAAAACGAATTGTTCTCTATATCGAAAAATCCAAAGATGGTCACGTGTCGCCTGTAGATGTTACCGAAATCGTCGATTTTTGTTGTGGTCAGAACCACACCGTGGCTATTGACAGCAAGAAGAGGGCGTTTTCGTGGGGTTTCGGTGGATTCGGAAGGTTGGGGCATGCAGAGCAGAAAGATGAGATGGTGAGTAATTCATTTTTTGTGATTTATTCTTCATCTAGAATTTATAATATAATATGTCACAACAGACCTACGACCCAAATACTTCACATTTAAAGAGGAATATTTGAAAAGTCGTGGCAATTTTGTAAATTGATCATAGAAAAACCATAATTATAATATACAAAACCAAAAAGGAATATTTTAAAAAGTAGACATTGTTTTACTAGAATAACTTATTACAATATTGTTTTTTATTATTTAATGGACTTTTCTATAAAAATGTACTTATGGTTGTAATCTATTTAACTGGCTGCTTTTTCGTTTTGAATATTAGAATATATGGACTGGTCTTTCATATATGAATCTTCCGCCCGTAAACTGTGTCTCGTCCAATCAAGTTTTTTTTTTATTGTTCCATAAATAGCTATTTTAAGTTGACATTTATAATATTTCAGGTTCCGCGCCTCATAAAATACTTTGATAGTCAATCACGAGGCGTCAGATCGGTTCACTGCGGCTCGACTTACTCGCTGGCCGTTACAGAATTTAACGGTCTGTACATGTTTGGTCAGACCAAAAAGACCGGAGAAGCGAACATGTACCCCAAACCCATCCAAGATCTCGCCGGCTGGAACATAAAACACATCGCGACCGGTTTGACGTCTATCATCGTCGCGGCCGACGAAAGCGTTATTGCTTGGGGAGCTTCACCTTGTTATGGAGAGCTGGGCCTGGGTGATATGCAGAAAACTAGCACTACACCAAAAGAGGTAAGAAAATCAAAATTATTGAAACAATTTTAGTTCTAAAAGTTTTTAGTTTTTCATTTATTTAATTAACTTCTCCAACCCTGCCATTTTGGTAGTTAAACAATTGAGAGTATTTTGTGTGCACAGCTACTACCCCCCAGTTTAAATAATTTAGGGTTAAAAATGTATGTGTATACTGACCTAATAATTGATAAACAGTTCATTCTGAACCCTTGGAGTATTTATCTGTTCTTCTATCTCCCCCTTTCTCTGGCTCTTAACCTCTGAAATCGGGTATGGGTTAAAAAAAAATATGAATAAAACCTATATTTATATAATAAAAAAAATTAAAGTTTCTCATCTTGTACATTATTTCCTCCAAATATGTCTTGTCATTTATCTTGTCTGTCCAAGGCCACTAACAATTTAAAAAATTGAAAAATGGCAGATATCTTGATAAAATTTTGAGCCGATTTATTTTATGATGTAAAAGTAATGATAAACTGATTTGACAAGAATTATTAAAAATTATAAGCAACTATCATTTTACCATTATATAAAGAACTATAGTAGGATAATCGCCATGTAAAAGTTACTGGAGACAATCGCGCCTGACATCACTATTGGTACAATAATTCAACTAACGATTTTATTTGCTATGCCAGATGTTGGAACTCTAGAGCGACAATTCTGTCAAATTAATTCTTAATATATACATTTTTAGTTATTGAGATTAAATATAATTTAAAATTAGTGATTTTTGTAAAGAATCGATAAATAATATCATTCCACAAGATATTTGTCTAAATTTAGAAATAAATCCAGATTTTAATGAAACTACAACCAAATTGATTTTATCAGTATTAAAAAGTAACATTAATTTGTATGTATCAATGAAGGAGCGGTAGGGTCCTCGTCTTTGGTGTGAGGAGTCTGGAGTTTAAACTTTTTTGTTTTATTATTTTCAAAACATTAATTTTATGTTAATGACCTATAAATCGTCGTGCTCAAATTTCGTCTTCTATCGCACGAAGACGCGATCATCAAATTGTAATAAAATTATATGTATAAGGTCCAGTATTTTTTTTTTTTTTTAAATCTTGAGATGATGAATAAAATTATTTTAAATATATCGAAAAAATATTTTGGATTTGAATATAAAGCGTGTCACAAAATGTCTGCACCAAGAAAACAAGAAATGACATATTTCTTTAATCTACGTAAAAAAGTGCAAATTAAAATTAAATAATTTTTACTGAAAACTATTAGGTACGTGGTTATTCATTATACCTATCCTTTATACCATAATTATTATTTATATTTACTGAATTTTGTTAAAATACCATCAAAAATACAGTGTGGCGTGTATATTTCACGGGATATAATAAATATGATTTTTAAATGGGATAGTTTATTTTATTCTAGAGATGGAACTTTTCATGAAAAGTAATTTTTGGACTAGTCCGGAAAAGTAGTGAAAAGTCACAATGAAAAGTAGTGGACCTTGAGTGAGAGAGGAGAGAGAGAGAGAATATGTTTATTGTCCAAGTTAAAATACTTATTGACAATAAGCTCCTTCATAGAAGACACACAGTTAAATCTGCATCCTGGATGTTTTTTCGAAAACACTTTGGAAACAATATTTGTATTTTTTTTTTTTTTTTTTTAAGCAAATCATTGTGAATTACTTGGTAATTTTTTCAAGAGTTTATTTTAAAGTCGGTAAACATTTGTCGTTTCTTCTTTTTTTTTTTTTTTAACAAAATTTTGATTTTGTTTATAAAAATTACTTAATTTAATTTCCCGCATGCGCAATACACTTCAATTTTTTGAAAAGTGTTTAGGTCTGTCAACTTTTTAGACTAGTCCGTCGGACTTGTCCGTGGATTTTTCAAAGCGAGCTATCACTATTTTATTCAATTTTAGGAATGATCTTTTTTGATTAATTAAACGTCGAATATCTTAGTTTAGATAAATATTTAACACTCTTTTTCTCACTGTAAACTACTTTGATTATTTTATTAAAGTAATGTCACTTTTATCAAACATAAATAGTTTTGGTTTCCATAGCATTTACTTGAATAATGTTGAATTTTCCATATTCGCAGTAAGTTGCTTAATCAAAATATTCGACGTTTAATTACTCGAGAACAGTAGGTAAAATATTAAGATAGGTATCCTGCCGTCCTAAAAACAGATGCCGTATCTACTGAGAGCGCCAAGCTGAGAAAACGGGGCTTAAAGTTATTTACTTAGCCCTCAAGTATTCAGGAGTTTTTAGGATAAACAAATGTGATTTTTTAACCATCATAAATATAAAAACAAACTGATTATATAAAAAAATGAAAATTCCTCAATTTTTGGATTAAAATGTTGTCTTTGTTATTACAAGGCGGTATGCCGTATGTGCTTAAGTAAGGGGGCGTCCATTAATTACGTGAGGTGTTCAAGGGGGGGAGGGGGTAAAACTAAATCTTTCTAAATCTCACTTGGGGAGGAGGGGGGGTTTCGTAAATCTCACGTAATTTTTTTCTAGTAGAAAACGGTGTATAATTGCGTGAAAGTAAAGTTAAATTATAGTAAAAGTATTTCTAGAATAAAATATGGAAAAATCTTATAATTATGTTTATTTACAACCATATATGTAATGTTGTCATTACTAACGTCATTGAAGGTTGGGAAGTGTCACATTACACACCTCTACTTCCCGCCCTCATTTCATCTATTCCAGATGAATATTTTTTATATTTAAAAAAAATAACACATTTTCTGACAAATTTTATAATACCTATTTAATTGCAAACAATAAAAAACAACAATGAACTAAAAATACAACAAACTACTTATTAATATTTATTATTCGCGAATTTAATATCCGGCTTTATCTGACATTTGTTTATTCCTGTCACGAGATCATAGCTAACCTCGACGCTTCGCGTCTCGGTGATCTAACTAATCTCACGACATTTCCATTTAAGTATTTATCATTTAATTTTATTAATGTGATTTTAAATAATTGCAACACTCTCAAACACTAGTCTTTGCTAGTCTTAAATAAAAGTAATGGAACATATTGTGTTTTTGTTTTTTTTTTTAATAATCCAACACATTTACACACAAAACACGAATTTTGAAAAATCTCACGTGAGATTAGGGAAGGGGGGGAGGGAGTTAAGGAAAATCTTACCAAATCTCGCCAGGGGGGGAGGGGGAGTCAAAAAATCCTCAAAAATACCTCACGTAATTAATGGACGCCCCCTAAGGCCCAGAATGGCTTGACAAAAATGCTTAAAATATTTATTTTGTGAAAATTATAAATAAAACAATCAGTTTTCATTTAAATGTGCTTTATTAGAATTCGCTCTTAGTTTCTTGGAAATTATCTTCGACCGAATAATTTATATCAGTCAAAAGATCTTCAGTTATAACTTCAACATTTTGCTGATTATTAGGGCTTGCCAAAGTCTCGTTACCGGACATATCGGGTTCCTTCGGTACCAAAGAAAGGATTTTCTTAGATCTTTCTGAAAATATTAAATGGGTGTCACTAAAAAATAATTACCAGGAATTCAAAATTACTGTTTGGTAATTTTCGCACAAAATTAACCAATTTTGTTATTACCAATAATGAATAATTATTAATTGTTAAATAGTTATTTAGTAGTAGGTTATTATAATTTTGTTAGAAAGCTTAGTAGACAGTTTAGTAAGATGAGACATTGAAGAAAACGACTTACTTATTACATTACATATGAAAGGATATTTCGAAGTCATTTAATGTTGTTTTTAGTGCAAAAATTTAAATAAAATTCTATATAGATTTAGTTCTACCTATAATAAATTAACTTATAAATATAAATACCTTTAATAATACAAATATTAACGCTTTATCAACTAATAAACTTGGCTCTTAGAATGCAATGGACAAATAAACACAAATCGCCGTTAAATCATAAATTAAGTGCGCTACTAACGGCAAACGCCGCGCCGTACCTGACTGGTCCTAACTGGAAAAGCCGTATCTTCACAGAAGTGGCAGTAGATACGGTATTTATAATTGGTACTATGCACGTACGGCGTATTTTCTTGGGACAGAATACTAACTCTGCAGATACGGCTAATTATTATGTTGGATTTTTTGTATTTCGGAGACATATACGGCATTTCGGCTTGGTAAAATGTTAATTTAGCTTGCCACGAACCCGTTGATGCAAAAATCTCAAAATCCGATTTTTTTGTAGATACGGCATCTGTTCTTAGGACGGCAGTATATTATTGCATATTTTGGAAATTAGTAAGTAAAAATGTTTTTAAATTTTAAGAACATACAGGTCATTCCTGTTAAAAAGGTACAATTTTTGTTGCATGGCGTCCTGTTTTTAACTGAATTTTATTGTCTAAAAAAGTAAGGAGGTCAAAGGGATGCGGAACTTATTTCTAAATATCGATACAATTAAAACAATTTTAAACTCTTATTTTATTGATCATATTTATGTAAGTGTATACTTACATCCCATATACATTTTCATAAAAATTGGTTAAGCCGTTTTAGAGTAAGAATATATATGCTTTATTTAGTCAAAAAACAACTAATACATAGTCAATAATACACTATCACACTAAAAATAAATGTATAAATATAATAGGTTATTAATATAACTGTAGTCGTATAAAATAAAATACAATTAAACAACACATATAAAATATTAATAATTAATACTTCAATAACTAAATTAGCTACTTACATCTAACAAATATTGTTTTATTTTACATTTGAATTCATTAATTGATTCTATTTTATTTAAATCTTCTGGCAAGTCATTAAATTGCTGTAAGCCTTTAAAAAAGATTGAATTTTGAGCATGACTGGTGTTGACGGTCCTAATATAATAAAAAATTTCTTTTAAAATTTATTTTTAACACCCTATATAAGCATTTTACTATCCATTTTTAATTTTTTATGCAACCAAGTTAGCTTAGATCGACTATTTTTTGACCCCAGAAACTGTAGCTAAATTTAC